AAAACATAATCTGCTATTGAAAAAACTTAGTATTCCTAAAGTCCAACATGTTTCATCTATCAATAAATAGATAGTAACATAACCTCCTCTTTGTTAATACAGTTTATAATGTCCTCAAAAGCATGACTATTATATATTATTGTTTTTTTTAGCCTAGTCTCCTAATCTCATAATTAGTTTATCCAATTTATTCTATTTACTTGACAAAAATTAACATTACTATCCACTTTTCGATACCCACGGTGAATTGCGCCGTGATATGCCTTATTTTCATTTATTGACATTACCATATTTATTTACATAACACTGGGAAATGTTTTTAAAATACCGTCAGCGATCCCCCAATATTGTGTAAAGTCTTGTTACAGCCGTAAAACAAAATCAATCTTTTATAAGAGAAGGCAGTTTTAGTAGGCCTTTCATATGAAAACACTTTCCTCCAATGGCATTCTCCCCTCCCTGAGGACGCCTAACTGGCTTAAAATGATAGCCCATCACACCCTCAAACATTTCGTATCTGTCTTCTTCCTCTTCTGAATGAGAAGAATCATTTTTTGCTTGAAGAATTGTACAGATTGTCTTCCTGAAATACTTGTCATGTTTGTTGTTACTTGTCAGTGTTGTGTTCCCAGAGGCCACCGCTCCAAGTCCACAATATACGTCGTGCATACATTAGAACGAGCTCCGGGTTTTCCGTACATATCATTGATTTTCCATCAAAATATCGCTTTTTCACCCCCAGGAATTTTTTTGCATCAAAAAGGATAGTGTTATTAAATTCAATCATTAAATATCTATCAAATACAAAAGTACACCATATTGAGACTTTCCGTACTCTATAAGCAACATTATACTAGTTTAAATGGTTATGGGGAAAATTGGTCTGAGGGATTTAACTATTTATAACATAGATATTGTAAATTACAATTTGTAATATAAATTAAAGCATCTTGGAATTTAACTGAAATGTGACCTCATAGGCAAATATTGATAATGACTAAAATAGGCTTGTTGTCAGTTGTCTGGATTTAACATCAGAGGTAAATGATAATTAGAAATGAAAACATGTTTGAAGGGTCATTTTGTATCATTGCTTGATAAGGAATCATTGTCGAAACGTCGCAAGTTTTTTTTTATTAAAGTAAATTGTTATCCATAATATCCTCAGCTATCTATAGATATACTGATATTGGATGAAAAAAAAAAACATCAACTTCCGGATTTATAGCCCACCGAAATCTGACATTTTTGCTACTAGGACAACTATATCACATTCTGTAATAAACAGTCCTAACATCAATATGGTTTACATTATTAGAATGTATTCTCATAAAATCTTAAACTTGTCAAAATGATTGACAGGGTGTTTAGCGTGTTATACAACATTGAAAACAAAACTGTGGGTTTAAACTTTCACATCTTGGTGTCAAATCAGTGAGCAAGAAGACAAATTAATCTCATTACGTAATATTTTAACCTTTAAAAATTTATTTATTTTTTTTGCAAAATTGTTGCATACAAATTTCAATTTCTTGTTCACAAATGGTAGACTGTTTTCAATGTCATAACTTATTTCTTTAATTTTCCCTTGTAGACCAGAGGGAGAAGGGGGGTATTGTCAGGCGAGAGGGGGCAAAATCTGAATCTGGGAAGTAAAGTGCCTGGTCAGGGGGCGTTTTTGAGTTTTTCAAGGTCAAAGGTCACGAAAAAAAAACATTAAAAATTGAGAATTTAACTACAAAATGATATTTTGATATCATCTAGAAATTGGCGAAAGCCCATTAGTGTGAATTGGCACTATCTATAAGTCTCAATTCTTTGAGGCAATCCAGGTCAAAATAGTTTAAAATGGAATGACGGATCTCATTGACCATGTCATAAGCAATATCAATTAGTTGTTAAAACTCTTATCGAAATTAATCATTTACTAGTACATGTACATGCATGAAACAAATGTAACTAACAATTTGAAAATCTCTGAATCACAGTAGGCCTAATTCGTCTAAAACGCCGTTGGCGAAGTGTTCAATCAATAATCCTTCAGGCTCACCGTCAATCACGTCGTCGAACAGTTTTATGATTGGCTGATCAGACAGCCGCCAATAAATTAGCACGCTGTATATGCAGTACTAAGGACGTCAGATACGGGGGGAGAAAACATAGGTCGACTATCTTTCTCTATCTGAGATTTCAGGGTATTTGCTTTACTGTGTACAGTGTTTGATCGTAATTTTTCTGAAGTTCTGTCTGGCAACTACTCAATGCTGTTTGTCGATATTCGTTGATTTTTTTCAACGAATCCTCGGCTATATTCTTCACTGTTTTCAATTCTTCTAACTTACGTTTCAGACTGTCTTTATGATCTTTGTAATTTTCTAAAATGACGTCTTTAGAGTCTTTGATTTTAAGAAAAGGATGGTTTTGGTGTTGACCAAGAAGGCATGTCGAACACAAAATAGTGTTACAGTCTTCTCAGAAACATTTCAGCTCCTCCTTAGGAGGTTTGGAGCAGAATCTGTATCTCCTGTTCTGTTTGCTGAACTCGTTGATGGAAACTTCCTCACCCCGCCATCATGAATTTTGCCGATTTTTTGTTACACATTTGATGGCGCCAAATTGGAACTAGCCAGGTCTTCCAGACATCTCTACAAAATGTATGATGACAATCCAATAATTTAGGTTCCTGGAATGGTCCAAGACATACAGCACATTCAAACTCTTCTACATTCCCATCCATTTTGATTTTGAATGCTGAACAATTCAATAATCTTTATGGTACGTTATTATATAATCGAATCTCTTATGTCATGTTTTTATCAACCCGAAAACTGAACAACGTAAGAAATATAATCCGAATCCGAATCCACCATAGTTTCCCTTGACAACTAAAAAACACCCTGTTTGTAGTTTAAAGTTTAAAGATCTCCTATGGTAATAGCAATATAAAGTGTCTCCAGCATTTCTAGATTTATACCTCCAGTTTTGGTTAAAGGGACAGATGTGCCATTTTAGAGGGTTGATTTTAGTCTTGGAAATATGTAAATAGTCTATTTCCTTCAAAAATACCTTGTGAGTCTTACTCACTTTATCTATATATGTCTTTTCTATATATCACAGAGTATAATCTTAAAATGACGAGTCATCATTTTGGCATTCAAACGCAGAATTGAATTGGACACAGATGGAATTGAAGGCGCATCTGTCCCTTTAATGAAGTAAAATTTGTAGAATTTCAAAATATTCAAGAGGTAGACTAATAAATCATGCCAATGATGTTAGTTTCTTAAAATTATAAAAACCATGCCTTGTATTTCTAGATTTAGTGGATCATTCTCCTGAAAATGTTTTGAAACTTTGAATTTGTTGTCATCAATTTTGATTAAAGCTGATCAAAAGATAAATAATAAGGCTGTAATTGAACCCAACTATTTTGTATTTGAACATGTAATTATTTGATCATGTAAGACTAGAATCGTATTAGCTAAATAGATGGTGTTTAATGAAAGCATATTGTTATTTTAATTTATAGTAATGTTCACAATGTCAAGCTATTACAAACTTCATCTTCACAATATCAAGCTATTACAAACTACATCTTCACAATGTCAAGCTATTACAAACTACATCTTCACAATGTCAACCAATTACAAACTTCATCTTCACAATATCAAGCTATTACTAACTACATCTTCACCATGTCAAGCTATTACAAACTACATCTTCACAATGTCAAGCTATTACAAACTACATCTTCACAATGTCAAGCTATTACAAACTACATCTTCACAATGTCAAGCTATTACAAACTACATCTTCACAATGTCAAGCTATTACAAACTACATCTTCATAGTGTCAAGCTATTACAAACTTCATCTTCACAATGTCATGACCTATTTTGACCTTTCGTGACCTTTGACCTGGATTACCTTAAAGAATTGGGACTTATAGATAGTGCCGATTCACACTAATGGGCTTTTGTCAATTTCTAGTTGATATCAATGAATTTTGTTCACATTTTGTAGTTAAATTCTCAATTTTTAACGTTTTTTGCATTATTTGACCTTCCGTGACCTTTGACCTTGAATAACTCAAAAACGCCCCTGACCCGGCACTTTACCTCCCAGATTCGGATTCCTGAGGAAAAATGCCTCTAGAAAAGTTAAGTCAGATTTTGCTTCTCTCAGGTGACAATTCTCCCTCTGGTCTATTGGGGAAATCTATGCCAATATGAACTTGGTGTCACTTAAACAGACCTAGCACACATAATAATTAAGCATTGAAACATAGCCATGATATCATTTTGGGGGATTTTTAAGGCCATTACAAATTAATAAGGCCACTTAAACTTACCCATAAAATAGACGTTAAGCCAAACCATATTCGTATTTATAATAAATATAATATATATATAACTCTTCACTGCAATTTCTTATGCTTGGGGCAGTCCATTGATTTTATTGCCCAATCCACCAGTTGTGATCGAGTTTGTTTCAGCTAGTTGAAAACCCACAACTAGTTGCAAAAGTCAGTCACAATCTACTGGGGTGACTGACTTCGAGGTCTATTACTGTACTGCCAAATATTTCTATTCAAAATCAAAGCTGCCAGTGGGCGTTGCTTTTATGTTCACATGGAAATGTGGATGTATATAATCCGCCTCCAACCGTCCATCAATTCACATTTCTTGTAGGCACATTAGGGCTGAAGTTTTCATCTGATCTTGATAAAACTTACTATGTATGTATATATTGATGAGATCTGGTCAAGTTTGTATTTGGTTATAACCAGATCAATGGTTCTAAAAATGTTGAGTAAAAGGGTGTTTGTTGCCCACTTAATATGTATTCATAGAAGCACAAAGGTAAGTCTTGTTCTGCATGTTTGTGTTGTAATGTGATATTTGCGGTACTTGTAATCCTCTTCCTGAAACTTCAAGTTTGATTTTTTAATTTTCTTAAGCATTTATAACATTTATAATTGATTATTTCTTGTTTTCCAGGATCATTTGTCTTATCTTCATTTTGTTGGCCGTGTTATTGGAATGGCAATATTTCATGGGCATTATTTAGATGGTGGTTTTACTATGCCTTTTTATAAACAGTTGTTAAGTAAACCAACAACACTAGACGATTTAGAGAGTGTTGATCCTGATTTACATAGAAGTTTGAATTGGATTTTGTGAGTACACAGTATATATATTTATTGAAAATATTTAATTATTGTATATTTGTATACATCAGGACAAAGGAAAAAGAACTTTACTTTAGGAAACCCTTTATCTGGTGTGTATGGCCTGACCAGCTTCTTCAAGTTGAACTCTTCAGGTCAACTAAGCAAGAGTGAATTCTTGACCTAGTTATACTTAAACAATGCAGAGGCATTTTGAATCAAATGTGAAGGCTCCCGGGTCAAATAGGGAAGCGATTAAAAAGAAATGCAAAGGCGGAATAGCTTGCCTTAATGCCAGTACCAGCCTCTTTGGTTGGTCCAGCATGGTGTGATACAGAGTTGGGAAGGTAGCAACTTGAGGTAGAGGGACACTGGTGTGTGTCAATTGTAGGGTTGTGAATTGTTGATTTACTGGTAGTCTTGCAGGCAGGAGAAGCATACAATGGAAGGAAAGTAGTATAAGTACTTACAGATTTACTGCAACTACTCCATTTGCAGTAAATCTGTACTTACACTACTCCCTGGCAGGCTAGCAACTACCCCCATTTCGCTGCATACCCCTATAATAATAATAATAATATACGTTTTTTTGATCGTGCACCTTTCACATTTGTGTTCAATTACACTGTACAATATAGGCCCTAATACATAAACAAAAACTAAATACATGAAATATAAAAAATAAATTACTGGGAAACATATAGCATGAACAACAAAATACAACAAAATACAAATAGACAACTTATGATACATTATTAATTTTAAAACTTTAACTCTATGAAAAGGCCAGAGATGTGTTTTTAATTTCTTCTTAAAACTGTAAACTATAAACAAAGGTAATTGATCTTAAACTAAATGGCAGATTATTCCAGAGTTATTCCACAGTCCCTACAACGTCATCATTTACTGGACTAAAATTACTGAATACAGATGGGTTAGATAGGTTGTCAAAGACATCATATTGAAAATCAAAATTATCATTAATACACTCCAAGTCTGATCTTATATTTGTTATTTTGGTACTGAAAAATTCTGAAAAAGTCTTTGGAAGTTCACAATTACTTTTTTGATCAGGTAGAATAGTATTCCCATAGTTATAATCTAATAAAGAATTAACAACTTTGTATAGTTCCTTTTGCTTGTTCTCAATTTTGTTAGAATAAAAATTAATCTTAGCTTCGTCAATTAGTTTGTTCACACGATTCCTTGTTGATTTATAGATTTCTCTGTGAACTGTCAGTTTTGTTTTACGCCATTTATTTTCTGCCTTGTTTCTGTAACGCATCGCTTGGATGATTTCATCTGTATACCACTGTATTAGGACAGATTTTAATTGGTTTTTTTTCACTGGCAGAATATTATCTAACACAGCAAGAAGCAACGAATTGTAGAGGTCTGCCTTCTTATGGACATCTTGACAAATGATACTATTAATATTTAAGTTTTGAAGATTCTCTTTAAATGCAGTATTATCAAAAGTCTTGTAGTTTCTGTAGGATATGGATTTCTTAATAGGTTCAGGTTTCCGTATATCAAGTCTGAATATCACTGCAAAATGGTCTGATATCAGTTTGCCTTGGACAAGGAGATCTTCAATCTTCACTTCTTCATTAGCAATAACAAGATCTGCCGTGTGAGTAGAACACGAAACATGTTGTTTAAAAGATCGATTGTTTAATATTTCTTTCAAACGTAACGTATCTGAATCAAGATCATTATCAACATGAATGTTAAAGTCACCAACAATGAGCGTATCAGTTTTTAAGAGAAAGTTCGAAAATTCTTCGATATCAATATAAATGATCACACCAAATTTCATTAAAATCAGTTGAAAACTGTATTGTGTTCACAAGAAATGTTGACAGACTTCCATGATTTCCATGTGGGCGTTTAAAAAATCAAATGTTACTTGTGCTTTAATTAATGCTAGGTCAGTAAGAAATAAAACAACACAACTGAATGAATTTATCCTGGACAATTCGATTGATGTGCTAGCCATTACTGAATCATGGTTATATGATTCAACTTTGACAGCACTTGTTCCAAAAGATATTTAATCCAGCATGGAGTCCGTGGGGATTTTGAAAGTTTGAATTGTAAATTTCAAAAAGCATCCAGATCAGTAAGAATTATAGTTATCTATCCTCCACCACCTCCATGCGTCAAAATTTGTTTGTGAACGCATTAGAGACTACAGTTTTCAATTGATTTTAATGAAACATGGTGTGATCATATATATGAATGCGATAATTTGATGTATTTGAGTTATTGATAATGATTTTTAAAAATTTTGTGGTATTTCTCAGCATAAATAACTGGCAGTAAATATATATATCATTGAATTCAAACTATTAAAATTTCTTTAATATGAGAAAATTCATACTAAAGACTGTTTTATCATTTCTGACAGCTGACAGTAGGCGTATGTTACCTTGCCTGGCAAGCTATCTTTCTTAACATCGAAAGTTTTTATTTTTTCAGTCACCAGGCGAACACAGTTGTATTATTATCAATTCATTAAAAATGTCATTAATAAAATTTCATACTCCCAAAACATATTTTGGCTCAGGAGACATTAAAAAATCTCTTACTAAACTTCCTGGATTTCCTTGGGCTAAATATTCTGTAGAAAAACTTCCTGTATGATAACACTACTGTTAAAGGGAGATAACTCTGTTGGGAAAAAATTTTTCAGACCACAATGGATTTTTTTAAAACAGAAGCGTGGAAACGTTGATTTTTATAAATCCGCGATAAATATATAATTACACTAATCTGGCACAATCCGAAAACCAAAAACAACATAAGGAAATGATTTTAACAAATAAGAGAGTGTGGAATGTTATTTCGTTAATTATTCAACCCCTTAAAGAAATCATGGGAAGCTGACAAATGATTAAGAGATTAGAATATCAATCTTTGGAATACATGCCACTGCAAATTGAGTTTCTGTGGTAGTCAAAGGTAACCATAAGTAACTCATCCACTCTACTATCCAATATCCATGTATGAATGAATGAAGAAAGAAGTTAGAGATAAGAAGGGAGGGAGTGTGTTTTCACAGAAGAACTTCTGACAAAGCCAGAACCAGTTCTTAGATGTTCCTTCATACAACAATAATAAAGATAAATCCTTTATATCAATTTCTTGGCCCTATATTCGTTAATCCTAATTTTTAGAATTAGCCTTCCGCCTTTAGGTCTCTCATCATCTCATCAAATCTTAAAGATAATGCAATTTCAGACATCAAATTCCAAATCTAGACCAAAAATTACCCAAAAATAGGCATGCAAAAACCCCAAAAGGGAGAGAGAAGGAAGATTTATAAACATAGCCTGGAGTGAGTCCTATATATGTAGCCAATTTTTTTTCTTGCTTTAATTTGTTCTATAACATCTGTGGAACAACCTGACCAAAAATTATGCAAATAAACCTCAAAGTAAACCAGCGCTGGTGTTTTAACTTTTGCCCCTCTGTCCTATAAGCTATATATGCACTGTACAAGGTTGCATACGTACAATTCTGAATTGGTCAGAACTTTTTATGCGCCCATATGAAATGGGGGGCGTATATTGCCGACACCCATGTCCGTCCGTCCGTCCGTCCACATTTGCTCGTAAACACTCTACAAGACACAATTCTTGACGGATTTTGACAAAACTTGGTATGAGTGTTCGAAATCACCCAAGGAAGAACCCTATTGAAAATCGGAAGAATCAGAAAATATTTAGTATAAGTTATTGCCCTTGTTCTTGAAAACGCGTTCAATTTTTAGCTCATAAACACTCTTGAAGGGACAATTCTTGATGGATTTTAACGAAACTTGGCATGAGTGTTTGTAATCACCCAAGGATGAACCCTATTGAAAATCAGAAGAATCGAAAAATATTTAGTATGAGTTATTGCCCTTGTTCTTGAAAACGCGTTCAATTTTTAGCTCGTAAACACTCTAGAAGGGACATTTCTTGATGGATTTTGACGAAACTTGATGTTAGTGTTCGTAATCACCCAAGGATGAACCCTATTGAAAATCAGAAAAATCGAAAAATATTTAGTATGAGATATTGTCCTTGTTCTTGAAAACGCTTTCAAATTTAGCTCTTAAACACGCTCTTAAAAGGCATGATTGGTGCTGGATTTTGACAAAACTTGCTTTTATTATTCAGTCCTGCGCTGAAGATTGAATATTTGCCTTCTAAAGTTTTCATGAGCTAAAAATTGAACACTTTTTCAAGAACAAGGGCAATAACTCATACTCAATATTATTCATTATCGCCTTAAAGAGTTCAATAGAAGTGTATGACTGAAAGTTGAATATTTCATACTGGTGATTGTTACTGTACTGCTAAATATTTTTATTCAAAATCAAAACTGCCAGTGGGCGTATATTACCTTCATACATGTGTAATCTACCGATGTTGTTGGGTTTCTACCGCTTTTGCATGTTGTCTACCACTCTACCGGCGGGATACCTGATTCTACCGATTTTTGTTTTTTTTCCTGATCAAATTTTCAGTGTTCAAATTCTTTACCATAAATCAACAAAATATCTATCATCACTTGTATCTTAATTGCCAGTAACACGCGTTAATCTCATCACCTAATAATATTAATTAAAATGGTAATTTGATCTATTTTCACCCGATAATGTGTATTTTAAGCCCACTTTCACACTTTTTATAACAACATCCGGTAGATTCTACTCTCGCTTTTATAATAAATTTTACGGTAGCCCTACTTTTACTAAAAAACGAAATCTCTATGTCTTCTCAGTATTTTATACCGTCAGTGTCAATCTGCGAGGTCTATAATAGGCCTATATAACATAGACGTCATTTCAGAATTATTTTTCATTATCGGTAGATTATCATACGCGACTGGATGTCAAATTCTTGTGTAAACTCAAACTTCGTTTCATAAAATCGTTTTGTAATTTCAATTCAATACTTTGTGAGAGTGTTGCAGGAAAAGTATCTAATGATCGGACTGGAGATATTTAAGATGTCATG